TGGAGCTTGAGATCAAGCCGCAGCAGGACAGTTTTCACAACATGACGGACGCGGACACGCCCGAGGCGAAGGAATTCGAGCAGACGAGGAGAGACTACATCAACACGTTGAGAGAGTTGAGGAAGAAGTATCCTACTTTGCCGTTGGAACAATTGGAGGTGATGGCCCACGAGGAGGTGCTCGGCAAAGGGCCGAAGAGCAGAGCGTTCTACAGGGTGCAAGCGACGAGGAAGATGGTCGGTGCGGGGAATCTGAGCAAGAAGATCAGCGAAAGGGCGCAGAGCGACTTGAGCGAGGTGAAGGCCGAGCTTCAGAAGCAGGAAGCCGAGAGCATCGAGATCGAGAACGTGAACGCGATGAGAATCTTCTTCGAGCCTGGCCACTATACCGTGATGGAGAACGTTGGTAGTTTCGAGGTGGGAGTGACCAGAGCCGGTGGCGACCTGAGCAAACCGTGCACCGTCGATTATTGCACCGAGGATGGCTCCGCCGAGGCTGGTTCCGATTACATTAGCGCCAAGGGCACCCTCACCTTCGATTCGGGCGAGACTAAGAAGACCATCAAGCTGTCCGTCATCGATGACGAGTTGTTCGAAGAGGACGAGCATTTCTACGTTAGGTCAGACTTTTATTTGGATCCCTTTTTCCCGCTCAATTTCTCTTTTCGACCGATTATTCACCGAGTATTCTCGACTTTCGTCTTCGACGTTTACGAGCCTCGTTTACCCGTGGAAAAGGAAAGCGTTAATTTGAGATCGTTCGAGATTGTTTCGTTTTAAACGTAATTGGAAATCGCGTAAAAAGTTTACAATCAAATATCCACGATATCATATGTTTGGCAAACGCCAACATCTTGTCGGCAATAAATGGTTTTGAGTTTCGTGAACTTGGCACACGCGACTTTCTATTCGCTCGGGCGTTCCTCGATGGCAAATAGCCTACTGGCCTCGCTCCATCTGCAAAATAATTCCCCTCCCCCCAACATTCTGAAAATAAAATCTATCACGTTTGCTCGTTCAACGACCGATTTTCATTAATTCTCGATTCCATCGACGTTAAACTGTTGCCGATTAATCCACGAAATCTAATAAAAAAATCGATCTTTGAACGTGTACTCTCGTTTCTCGACTCGGCCATGATAATTCTGACGCGTTAGAAAAAAAAAAAAAAGGGAGGGATAATTCCTATTCCGGAAAAAGATATTCAAGGGAAAGGATCAAGGACGCATGGGGGATCGGATTGCAGAGTTGCATGTACCCCCTAGTTTTATTGCCACGGTCAATAACGGCGCGGAAACTCGAACGAGCGCCTCTCTGGCGCACGTTAGTCATCCATTAAAGCCAGAGACGCAATCAACGATTCGAAATTGCACCAAGCTTTCGAGAGACATTTTCTCTCTCTCTCTCTCTTTCTCTCTCGAGAAAGAGAGACGACTGAACGAATGGAAAGATCTGATTCTAATGAAGTTAATTCCATACGTCTGATTCTACTTTCGTAGATATATAATAAAACGTGGTCACGAGTCGAACTTTGTCTTAACACTTGTAATATTGAAATTGCACTTCTCTTTCATCGTTCACCTTTGTGAATCAACGAAGAAATATTAGCTCGAAATTTCAAAGATACGTGTAATACGTCGGTCGGGGATGAAACGTGTGCTCGTGAAAGGGTGAAACCGTTTCGTTGGTCGATGTAATACAACGGCGAATTGTCTTGAACCACGCTGAATGCGTTCATTCGGGAGATAGGAATGGGGGAATCAAAGGAAGGGAACAATGGGTACCGGGAGGTATTTCTGTCAAATACGTTGGACCTTGAAAAATCGTTGTGGCGGGGAAAAACGAGGCGGAGAAATATTACAAAATGTTTCGTTGTTTCGCGATATTGAATCGAAACCTTGGAAAATCCTTTCCTTTTTTTTTTTTTTCCATCCTCCTGATGAAACTAGGTCGAGGTCGAATCGAGGAACAATATCCAACCGGAATATAGATAAATAAAAAAAAAAGGAAATCGTGGTTGATTGTGGTGTATTGTTCCGAAGAATAACGAGCGTTCAAATTGATCTAACATCTGTGTCTTCTCTATTATAAGAGGATCTTAGACGATCTTGTCGAGCCTTGATACATCGAGGACATCTGTTTAATATTCTATCGATCGATTCGATGAAAGATGTCGATACTTGGATATAAATTTGCATAAGAAATACTTTTTGTGTTTATCCAACGTTGTCTATGCATTCGTGTAAAAATTGGAGAAACATTTAAATTTGTTGTCCCTCTAAAATCACGTTATATTGCAACTGAATGAAAATACAGATTTTTTAATTTTAACGCGAAATATTTCGAAAGACGCGTATCTCTCAATCATCTTTTTCGCGCACGATGGCAACAGCGTTCGAAAATATTCGAATTCGTTGCACGAGGTGTACTTTTCTCCTCGTACTTTTTTCATCGAATCGTGACTGGACTCGATTAGCATTCGAGAGCAATCGAAGAGCATCCCAGTTCTCCTTTGGAAAACAGGAAGCGGATTCGATACACCAAGACGCTAATTCGAGGGCGTCTGTTGGCCGTCGACTAGCTAGCCACGATAACAAATTGATAACGATTGACAAATCGTCGGGGAAGTGCATCTTTCAATTAACTTCGGGCCGGATGGCGTGCGCAATTTCATTATCGTTTAAATTAGAGCGTACAAAGGGTATAGGTTACTTGCTCGCGGCTTCGTTTGAGACCGATGCGTGTCTATTATCATCGTTTTATCGTGACAATATATCGTGACAATTGTATTGAATTAGCTCGAAAAATCTTGGAATCGTCTCGGTTATTTTAATTGCAAAGATTGCGTTCGTACGAAGGATGTTCCTCATCTGTTCGACATCTTTATTTTTCTCGTGCATTCTATCGTTTATCCGATCGAACAAGATTATTATAAATATTGTTATAAACAGGTCAAATAATAGATCTTTTCATTTTTGCATATCGATCATCGAAACATCTTATCCGTTCTCGAACTCGTAATAATCGAATTCGAGATTGTCGAGTTTTTACATTTTCTTTAAAATCTTTAAAAGTTTCTTTGAATTTTATCTTATCTGATGATTTCTCTCGTTTTAAGATTTGAGAAATGGAAATGAGATCGTGCTTAAGTTTCTTTCTCAAACTTTTTAATTGAGCAGTTTTTTTGATTATCCAGTTGGTAATTTTTCCATTTAAAGTCTCGTGAATTCTTTCTTGGCGAAAGTAAGTGTTTCGTGAAATTTTATTCTCACCGTTTCGAAATATTCAACCGTTGTTAAAAGAACCTCAAAGCAGTCTTGAAGAATTGAAATTATCTTTTAAAAAGAGATACGTCAATTTTCAAGAAAGTCTTTCGAAGTAGTCTTTCCACAACAGTTAATTTTTTTTCTTTTTTAACTACGCAATACAATCTGTCGATCTCGCGAGTTTTCTCTTGAAACGACGAGTCACGGCATAAATTTATTTTCTTATCTCGCGGTGAAAAAAGATGGAAAGGTTTCGATAACGAGAAAACAATGTCGTTTTTTTTTCTTTCGATCGTTAGAACGAAGGTCCAGGTCGAGGAGAGAACGATTAAAAAGCAGGAAAGAACGAAAAATTTCCTTCGATCTATCGTTTAAATACGATCTTTGTGTATGTATTCACTACGTGTCGAGAAAGAGGGAAAAGTGAAATTTTTTTCATTTCGAATTTTTCAATCGTATTCCCATCTTCGCCGATGAAGCGAAGAAACGCAGCTGAAGCAATGAGAGCGGGACTTGTTTCGAGTCACTTTCAATTATGCTTGTCTGACCGACTTAATCCAAACTTTAGACTGGGAAGGAAAGCAATTAGGTTAGATGGGCTGGTTTGATCGGCGGAAGTATTCCATTGCGTTGCGGTTATGACACAGAGTGCATGCTCGTCGCTATGACAAATGCGCGGAGAAACATTTTCTCTTAACAGTAAATTTACTGTCATCGGTCAATCGATCTTTATTGTCGATAGACTGCGAATTTTTATTGAAAAATGTGCTAAATTCTAAATTATATACCTATATACTTTGTGTATAGGTATATATATAGTACAACAATTCGTGTAAAGTGACAAATTTTGATTTTATAAAAAACGTGAAAAAAACTACTTTGTTTCACTAATCTATTCACTATTTATTGGAAAAATCTTTCATTCGAAAGCCAATCGTATATACGAAAAAAAAAAAAAAGAAATGATAAAATTGTTCAATACTTCAATTAACTCTAAAACGCAAGGATATTTGATATTTGCCTCATCGTAAAACACGTACGAAAATATCATTTTATTCGCTGTTATATTAAAGTAGAGATTAAATTAATAACATCGAATTTATTACAGATTAAGCAACGCGTCCCAGCCAGCCATGCTAGTTTCACCTAGTTTAGCGACCGTGATGATTCTCGACGACGATCACAGCGGCGTGTTCGGATTCCCTGAAAGGGATATGGAGCTCGTGGAAAGCGTTGGCCAGTATCCTTTGCGAGTGATGAGATACAGTGGGGCAAGGGGACGCGTGGTCATCCCTTATCGCACCATCGAGGGTACGGCTAAGCCTGGAAAGCAATACATGCATACCGAGAGCTCCCTCACGTTCGAGGACAATCAGACCGAGTAAGTGCAATTAATATAATCATAACTTTTTTCTTTCTTTTAAGAATTTAAAGAATGTAGCAAACTTCGTTTGCGTTTGTCGCATACGATCGCAAATTCAGAGGAGAGGGATCAAAGTGAAATTCTTACGGTTTATATTTATAGATAATTAATCGATCGATTAATTACGCATCTAGCTCGAGGGTGAAGAACGTGACTCCAAGTTTAGGGGATGAATTTCGAATTTGTCCCCCCCTCGTGGACACGGAGGGAGATTTATCGGCGACCTTAATTGGTTTCTCAACGGGCGTAGTAGCGGGCCGTTCCGTAAAGAGCTTTGGATTAGGTAATTCGGTGGGGGGGCGATAGGCCATTGCCAGTTATTAAGCTGCGTTTTTTTTTTTTTTTTTTACTAGGACGAGCGTGGCATTCCATTTTTGGAACGACGAACGCGTGGAAAGATAGGGAAAGCGTGGAAATTTATTCTTGGCCTTAATCGAATTTTCTAGCGTGATGGAGCAGTCGGGGAGGGGTTTTTATCGAGCGATCTTATCTCACGCGATTCCAATTTAAAATTATTCGATGCTTATATCCGTGTTCGAGCTTGTTGCTTATTATTTGTCGTCTTGACCGATCGGAAAATTTCACCTCGCTTCCTGACGTTTCACCTCTCGTGATGTTTCAATACACGAATGAAAGTTGACGAGAGCAAGTTGCAACAGATTAAATCGAAAGTTAAGTTTTTGAAACGTTGTAGAAAAGTTATTAAGAAACGTTTATAAAATAGTTCTTGGAACCGTGTATATCGTATATATTCTCCGGAAAATTCTTTCTTCCGTAGCGTTACTTTTTTGCATCGGTGCAACGAATACGATTGTAACAATAATCGAGGAGGAAACAGCGATTCGAAGGATGATCGATAATCGTGCACTGTACGATGGGAGGTAACAATAAGCCTATAGAATTGAGTAACGCTCGAATATTATGCATCGAGTCGCGGATTAATGGAATTTAAAGCTGGTTGGCCGGCTCGATCGAATAAATTAAACCGAAGCTCGATGAGCTGAGGTATAAACGCGGGGCGGCGATGTATAATATCAAGGAGCGGCTGTTTCGTCGCGTTCGAATCGATTGTTATCGTATTCTGGTTCGTCGATTATCAATCGTTGGACGAATAATTGGAGCGTGGAAGGGCGCTCGAGGGCACCGAGGGCTCGTTATTGCATTTTAAAAAGGCCGATTTACCACGCGAGCCTCGCATTCGAATAATTCCAAGTAAGAAATTCTTCTGAGAAATATATTATTTCATTTGTTTTCGATTGCAACTCCAGTGTTAACCGCGACAATGAATGAATGAAAAATATTGGTTATTTAGATACAAATTATCGTCGAGTCTGATCTGCGACTTTCTTGTTTTACTTAGACATTTTCCTTAATTCTTTCGGAACAAATTTTTCTTTTTTTTTCTTTTTTTTCTATCCGATATCATAACAGTAAAAAAGAAAATAGTAGCTTGAATCTGATTTTCAGAGTAGATCTCGTTTCTAATTCTACGTTCCAATAGCCTATTTCGAGTAATCTCCCAGAAAAATCCCCCAATTCTTGGAAAGTTTTTCCTAAATTCACAGGAGCACTTTACAAAAACTTTTTAAATTTATTTCGAATACTTTTAGGAACAAGTACTTTTAGGAGAATAATAGTTTGGAAAAGCGCGATTCGCGAAGTTCACATTCGAAGGAAGGATTCTTGGAAGGATATTTTATAAGCGAGTTCGATTCAACGTCACTTTTGTCGATCAATAATCGATGAAATATATTTTTGTAAGCATCGATCAAGCCCTAGTACACTTCGAGCCTGACTTACGACCCTCCTCCCTCCTCATTCTACTTTTAACTCCAATTTTCAAAACTTCCAATTTCCTAAATTTACTTCGAAGATTACTCGCAGAAAACAATACCCACAAGATCGAGAAAAATGCTGCCGTAAAATTTACCGAGAAACTGGAAAATTCGACTTCGAGGCTCGATCGCCAATCAGCTTAACGAACGCCGTCCTTTCCGGCAAAACGAATCTAGAAGGAAATTAGAGAGGGAAAACACGAAGAAATCGAGGCCAGTAGGCAACGATAATAAGGGATCGGTTTTAGCTGAATCGTGGTCACGCGCGACCCCATCTCACTTTTTACGACCCCATTAATTCCCTTGCGTTCTTTCGATCGCTGTTCTCCTTTCCGCCGCCCCTTTCCACGCCAAGATTCGAGAGTCACGAACCACCACCAACTGGCCGTCTATGGGTGAATTACTTTTAGCCAAGAACTACACCCGGCATTACTTATCCTGCCGGAAGAAGGTGGCTTTTCTACTTCTCGAGAGAAACGAATCGTTTCCGGCTTGTGTGACGATGTAAGTAGCGCGAGGTCAATTGGCCGCTCCTTTCCGATTCTTGTAGGCTTCGTAGAATTTTTCATTAAATTTGACATCGAGTATCAAAAATTATCGATATTATACGTTGATGGACTTTTTTCCAATTCCAATCTAATTTTTCGGAATTCGTTAGCGATTCTAAAAACTTTGTTTAACTCGATAGGATATCAAATTAATCGATCATCGAAGAAGATCGAGTCTCGAACATTCGAAGAAATTTAAATTTAATTTTAATTTTTGTCAAACGATATTGGACTCTGTATTCAAGAGGAGAATTTCCTTTCAGTAGTGACGATGATTTCGTATATCTTTCGTAAAATTATAATTGGAAATATCACAATATACAGGCAATACGAGTATAAACACTCGATGTTAAATCTTATCGTTAAAAATTATTACAAGGATAATTCAAAATATCACAACTATTTGAATATTCAACGTTGCGAAAACAGATGCAAAGACAGGAATCTTGCTTGAAACAGAGGTACAAGTTTCTTTTCTCATTTAACAGCGAGCGAGCTTGGCCGATTTTCGCCGGATCCTCGACGATTGTGATCTCGATGTACAATACCCAGTCTGCACGAAAAAGCACGAGGAACGAGAAGGCGGTATTTACGAAATATCCGGAGAATTTCACGGGTCCAGAATAAACCGTGGGGAAAGGGGAGAAAGAGAAGTGGAAGCGCTGCGAATGACACAGAGATTCGTTTCATTTTCGCGCGTTTCTTCGAGCTTTCGCTCGCAGTTTTTCGAGAGTTTGGCGCGATGAAACACGAAACTCGTCATCGCGACGACGCGCTTGTCTCGCCCGCCGCTAGATAGAATTTTCTCGTTCGAGACAAATGACTTTCGTTTCTTCCTCGCCCGAAGAACGCGGTGAAAAGTCGAGGAAGAAGCAGAATAGAATGGAGGGTTTCTTATTCTCGATACACGATATCGTGTTCGCTCGTTCTCTCCCTTTTTTTCCCTATCTTCTCTCGCTCTCTCGAGACGTTGTTTGGGTTGACGGAAAAGTTTCTTCCTCGCGTTATCGCGACTCGTCTCAAATGATAACTAATTCGTCAAGTATATTGTAACAGAAGAATTCGAAGGATTTATAAGAAAAATTGGTTGATCTTGATTTCAATCATGAATCATCATTTTGTTAAAGAAAATTTAAATTTATAGATTTATAGGGGAAATTTCTGTAAAAATCTTTTGAGATAACTGAAACAATCCCTCGAGTCGAGGAATCTAACCTCGAATTTTGCGAAATTTCTTTTTAAATGGATCAAAAGAAAATACGACAGTGATAATTCGATGTTGACGTTCTTACGGTATTTATAGAGTGGATAAACGACGATAATATTGATAATACAAGAAAGGGGGGAGAAACGAAGAGAGAGCATGGAAAGCCATTGAACAAATAAAAAAAGAAAGCGCGAGTCTGTAAGTGGACTAATAGAGGGGCGGGAAGCCCGTAAAATGCGGCATGTTACATCCCTGCGCGCCCTTCGTTCCCCTGGCAAGCCCGTTAACTTCTCAAGTGCTAAACACCCTCGTATCTCGGCTGCTTCCAATCTTTTTCCACGTGAAAACATACTCCTGTCTCGAGAAAAATCGAGGCGATTTTTTTCTCGAGACGGAAAGAAAGAAAATTTCTATATTTTTCTTTTCCTTTCCTTTTCTTTTCTTTTCTTTTCTCCCCGAAGGAAATTATCTTCGTTATTTGTACAAACGCAATACTAGAATTCTAAAAAATTAATAAATGAAATATTGTATATCGTATCGAAGAGTACATACACGTTTCATGGTCACGTACGTACTCTTCCCCCTTCAATCGAGTTTACGAGCGTGAAGCCACAAGCACGGTGTTATATTATCTCGATGAAAGCACGAGCCTTTAAAAGCACGTCTATATCTTTTACGGGATAGAGAATCTGTCGATAAGTTTGCATCTTTCAAACTGATAGATCTAGTCGGTTCCTCAATAATACTCGAACAATTCGGATCGACGTTAATGGAAATTATATCTCTTCCTCTCATCCTTTTTTTTCAATACACATATCGATATCGATTATATTCCCGCAATTTTCAATTTCAAACTCGTATCCTCGTTTCAGACTCGAAATTCGAAATTTTATTCGCGATTTATTCCAAATAAATCAATACAGAGATGAGAGTCGATTCACGCTTTTTGGAAAGTTTAGATCGATAGTAAGCGAAAGTAATTTCGAAAAAAGCACGATGAATTTCTTCTCGGTCTCGCGATTTTTCAAACGGAAACTTGCTGTTTGCTATCGCGTTACACAGGGAGGCCATCCCTGAAACTTTGATCCATTTAATCCATTTTCGATTTTTACCCGTCGAAAGAGAAATAGACGGGGGAGGGGAGAAAAAAAACGCAATTACTCGACCGTTCAAATATTTACCGAACGACGAAACTGGGAAGGATTCCGCGTCAAATCGAACGAACGTGTGTGGTTGATTTCGGTAGGGATTGGTTCCAGGTGCTACAGTTGGTTCGTGGAACGGCTTTGTTGTTCCAGATGCGATAAATCAACGTCTCAGGACCAATTCCAATTTTCCTACGTCGTCGTCCCCGATGGATTCGACGAC